TCTGGCTTTGCCACGCAACAGCTTAACATCTCTGAGCTTCTGTGTTCTTCTCTGAAATGGGGATAGTATGGATTTACCATACACAGAATATTCTGAGAATTAGAGCCTATCCCACTACCAGAACACAGTATATGTATTGACTATCATAAAGGGGAAGACATTGAACTACATGACTCACAAGATTATGTGACATCCTGGTTCTAAAATTCTAGGATTTTATGTTCTGACCTTTTGGGGTTTTTTTAGTTTTTTTTAAAGATTTTACTTATTTATTTGAGAGAGAGAGAGAGAGCACACGAAAGAGCACGAGTTGTGGGGAGAGGGAGATTCCCCACTGAGCAGGGAGCCTGGTGCAAGGCTCCATCCCAGGAACCTGGGATCATGACCTGAACCGAAGGCAGATGCTTAACTGACTGAGCCACCCAGATGCCCGAGTACTAACGTTTTAAAGCCTTACTATACTAAAAAGAATTTCTCCAACCACAAAAATATAGTGAGTGCTTAGCATGTGCAAAGCACTATGTTTCAAAGAAAACTGTTCATAAATAGTAAGGAGCAGGAACTCAATAATCTTATGCACTTATGTAACTCTTTCCCAAGTTAAGTTAATGAATGCTACTTAAAAGGCCCTATCAAAAGCAAGCCAACAACCTACGACAATCTCTTACCCAAAGGGTAACTCTAAATTGGGATGAATAAAACATGTAAATGTAATTAATGCTTTTATGGAAAGACAATATAGGCTCTAGCTAGGAAACAGAAAAGACAGAATTGGAAGAAATAGCCCCAGAATGGAGACTGCCATCCTAGCTCAGGGAAGCTGAAGGCTTGGGCAGGTCTGGTCATAGCTTAAGGATTGCTGGGTGATAGATGGGGACCTCCAAACACTCTTTCCAGTGACCTCAGAGGCAGGAAAGGGGAGTCCATCCTAGACTTGGGAGAGAGGGTGAAAGCAAGTTGGACAAACATGCAAGTCAATAACATGGATGGCATACCCTTATCAGCCAGTGTCTTAACCCTCCCTCCTGTCCCAACATGTTATTTATAAATTAGTTCCATGCAGTACCTATTAAGTGTATCATAAAAATCTTCATAGAGTATAGACATTGAAAAGGCTTTTGAAACAGAAGGTGTTAATATTTTATTTTTCACCCTAATCAGTCTCCTTGTGTACCCCACTTTGGAGACCAGTAGTACAGAACAGGTGAACTTGTGGGAGAGAGGTGGGTTTGGAGTTGTCAATCCCTGCATAGAACCTCAAAGGGAAAAACACTGTCTACAAGTCTCCCTCTGCTTTTCTGCAGAAGAGAACCCTGTCACCATGTCAGTGAATAGGCAGGAAGAGCACCAGATAAGAACTCGGTGTCCCCACCACTCTCTCACCAGCTTCCAGCCTTCTGCCTGGCCTTCAGATCACACTTGTCTTCCAAGGTTGCCATAGTGACACCTGATGCCACTGCCAGAAGGTTTTCCACGTTAGGAAACTCAGACTCTACAATCTGGTCGTGACCATATCTGACCTAGAAGAGTTCAGATGATAAGCCTTGGACCGTTTTCAATTTGGGGGAAGGGAAACACTTTTTTAGACCATATATTACAAGTAGAGGGGATGAATCTTAGAATCCTCCTTGTACAGAGTCCTGGGTGCAATTAAACACTGGGTCCATGGTAGGTTTTGTTTGGTTGGTCGATTGATTTGGGCTAAAAATTAGACTGAGAAAAAATTATTTCCTGCAAAAACAGGTGTATTATTAGCAAATATCATAGGCTTTTTCCCCTGTGGACTTTATAAATAGCTACTAGAGAACATCAAATTTGGTGCAGAATTTTCATATATGCTTCATCTTATGACTATAGAGAGAAACACAAATAAACCTAAGTCAGTCTGTAAAGACATCACCAAAGCAAACCATATGGGAAAAAACACTTGTCCAGTTTGCAACAGGTCCCCTATATATGAAACTGCAGATTTCATTCTGCAGTTGGGGCCCCTCAACCCCCAAGTGTACAGAAGTCCAAAACTACAGAACTCCACAGAACTCCAGAAACATTTGTGGTCTTGCTTTGACAAGATTTCAATTAGGAGAACTAGCTGGTTTCTGCCTCTAAACACTGGCACTGGCATTCCAGTGTAATACCTCGTGATTCTTCTTGTCAAGAGTTTGGTAGTCAGTCCTGGTTACCTTCGAGAAGCCTTATCTCCCAGTGAACCTTCAGGGAATGGCAGCCAGCCTAGCCTGCTGCTTCTATCAGTTTAGCCAAGCCCATGGGTGCGAGCATGGTTCTCACTGACAAGAGGCAGTTCGCTTACTAGAGTGCAACCACAAAACCTAGTCTGTGTAGGGTTTGGGGAACACATTTTTATAGTTAAAAAAAAAAAAAAGAAAAATTAATTCTATAGATCAGTAGTAATTATGGAAAAGGCACAATGCTGGGTTTGGTTTGTTTTTGTTTTTTAATAAGTTAGATCAGTTTTGCTCTTTCCTTACATTCTATTTACTTGGCTTTGTCAAGGTATAGCAAAGATAGCTATTGGGTTGGCACCAAAGAGCTTTCTTTCTTTTTTAAAGATTTTATGTATTTACTTGCCAGAGAGACAGAGCCAGAGAGCACAAGTGGAGGGAATGGCAGAAGGAGAGGGAGAAATAAACTCTGCACTGAGCTGGGAGCCCCATGCGGGCCTCGACCCCAGGATGCTGGGGGTCATGACCTGAGCTGAAGGCAGACACTTAACCATCTGAGCCACCCAGGTGCCCTGGTGCCAAAGAGCTTTCATGACACCAGTCCATGGCATCAGTTGATCTTAAGCGCTCATGTGCAGTGGGAGATGGAGGAGAAAAGAGCAAAGCAGAAATCACAAAGACTTTCTGAGAGTTAGTTTTCAAATTGTTTGACTTTGTAAAACACTGTTTCAAAGAACATTATATTATATTACAGACAATCTCACCACTCTCAGATAAATATTTTATCTAACTAAAGTTTTTACACATTCATTTACAATCAATTCTATTGTTTCACTCCATGAACTATCATATTTTCTCCAATTAAGTGAGGTGATTATGAAACTGAAAGATTGGTAAATATGGAAGTTATTATTGGATCAACATTTTCTACAGGAACAGCTTAGACTGTTTGTGAAGTACAAAGAGAACATGAAAATGTCTTTCCTACTCTGCCCTAGATTCAAGTTATTCATTCCCAGGATTGATTTATAAATGTCTAAATCTTAATCCCTTTTACAAATTAGCATGGGACTTTAGCCCAGATGTTAAGGGAAATTTGCTTTAAATTGCTTTATTGACAGTGGAAAAACTGAAAATACTAAAACAAAGCACTTGTTGAGTAACTACAGCAAAATGTCATTTATATGAAATTCATTCATCAGGAATTGATGATAGTTAAGAAAGGCACAAGACCAAGGTGTACCTTTGGCCTAATTGTGCAAAAGTATACTAAATCAGTTACTAGTGGAAAACATTTTTTAGAGAGAAGGCTGAAGCCTCTATAGAGAATGTTTCTAATACCCATAAGTAATTTTAGACATTTAAGACATTGAATTATTTCTCAGTTATAAATAATCCTTATCAATAATTTAAGTCCTTCTTGAGCCACTACTAAGTAAATCTTTCTTGACCTACTTGTAGGATTTGCTGTAGCGATGAAGGTAGCCTTTCATTTATAAAATGAAAATGAAAGCCTTTTCCTAAATCAGATGCCCTTTCCTCCTAGTTTCCTTTTCGCAGAGCAGGTCAGATGTTCTTAAGTGCGTGAGATCTAGAAGCAGCTTGCCTGGGTTCAAATCTCCCTTCTACCAACTGGCATGTTTATCTACGGTCATGGTGCCTCCATTTTCCCAGTCTGTAAAATGGAAAAAATAATAATAGCTAAAAGATGTTAAAACTGCAAAGCATTTAGAACAGTGCCTGGTACCTTTAAAATCAGCTCTTGTTGCCCTAACACTGAACAGCGGGTCAGTGAGGCAAGTTAGACTCGGTCACACCCCCAGGACGTCGCTAAGAGAAACTTCTGTGAAATGGTACATTTTAGAGCAGACAGGTTTTTAAGCCCCTCCTCTCACAAAGCTCAAGGGCAGATTTTCTTTCACACCGCAGTGCATCACACGCGTTTTCGATTCCTCAGCCTTCCTTTCTTCTGGCCTCCATCCACCCAACTTAGCCTGCCCCGTACGCCTAGTTAATTATGCAAAAGCCTTTTCCAAGCCACCCCCTCCCAGTCTCTACGAATTCGTCTTCGTGCTCTCTTCATTCCGTGCTAGACCGCACCTCCTCCCTGAAGTCCTCCCTCATCAAAGCGCTCCCCTCGGACCAGCCCATGACTCGGGCACAGCTCTGCTCGGGAACCCCCTTCTCGATAAATCCTTCAGATGGTTAGAGGCTATTTGAATCGCCCGGTCTTCATCTGAAATTTTTCATTAAAACGTGGAGTTTGAACAGTCCGCCCTCAGTTGTTGATCTTTGGCTCCAAACCAGACTCCTAGTTAAAGACACAAGAACACGACGATGGGTGAACTGCGGGCCCCGAGGGGTGGTGAGCGCGACCGGAGCCCCGTTTAGGAACGGTTCGTTTGGACGAGACCAGGACGAAGAAGAGCGGAGGTTAGTGACGCACCTGAATAAGTCCGCTAGACCAAAGGAGATAAACTCAGGATTTAATCGTGCAGGCGGAGAGCCGCGCGCGCAGGCGCGCACACACACACCACAGACACGGAAAGAGAGGCGCCTTCCCAGGTATCTGACAAGGACACGACTCTGAGCAAGACCGGGTCTCAAAGGCCCCCGACTTCCGGAGAACCCCTGCTCCCGCCTCCTCCGAAGATTACCGTTAGCGCATCTGTCCGCCAAAGCCCAGGCTCTGGCGCGCCGGGCACCCTCCCCGCAAGCCCCGTGGCCACAGCTCCCTGCCCCCCGCGAACGCGGCTGCCCAGTATCCTCTGGAACGCCTGAGTGACTGTCGGGTTTCGAACCCGGGCGTCGACCCTGGCCCTCGGGGCGCGCAGCGGAGTCGCCGGCGCAGCCTTTGGCCCGCACATCAATCATTTACGCGCCAACTAGGGCTCCTGCGGCCCGAGGAGGGGGGATGGTACGGAACCCGAGACCGGGGACAACTCTATCCCCCAAGGCAGCCGCGAAACACTAGCCGGGGAGGCCCCCGCCCTCCCTCGGTGCGCCCGTCCCTCCCTCCTTCCAGCGCCTAGGCTCCCACATCCCCGCCTCCCGCTCCGGGGGCGGCGGCGGCTGCGCCCGCACCGCGCGATGCCCAGTCACCGCAGCAGCGCCGCCGCTGCCGCCGCAGTCCACCGCCGCCGCTGTCGCTGCAGCAGCGCGGGCGGCCGCGAGCCAGTGGCAGGGAGCCTGGAGCAGGGGCCGCCGAGCCCGCGCGCTCCTACCAGTCGCTGCGCGACTCATAACCTGATTGCTATTTTTATTTATTTTTTTTTTTTATTTATTTTTTTTTTTTTTTTTTTCAGGACCGGCGGCTCCGAATCAGGTCTTCTCCTGAATCTGCAGCGACGCCCCCGGCGCGTGCACAAAGGCTCCGACGGCGGCCGGCGGGGACTGCCGAGCGCGCGGGAGCCGGCGCCAGAGGTCGCCTGTGCGCGCCCTAGCCAAACCCCAGGCACCATGCCGCGGCGCCTGCAGCCCCGGGGCGCGGGCACAAAGGGCCCGCCGGCCACGACCGCGGCCGCTTCGGAGGCGGCCTCAAGTTCCCACCCCTCCGCCTCCGGGGACTCTCCGGCATCGGCCAAGCCGCTGCTGCGCTGGGACGAGGTGCCCGACGACTTCGTGGAGTGCTTCATCCTGTCGGGCTACCGGCGGCTGCCCTGTACAGCGCAGGAGTGCCTGGCTTCGGTGCTGAAGCCCACCAACGAGACGCTCAACTTCTGGACGCACTTCATCCCGCTGCTGCTGTTCCTGAGCAAGTTCTGCCGCCTGTTTTTCCTGAGCGGCCAGGACGTGCCCTTTCATCACCCGTGGCTGTTGCCGCTGTGGTGCTACGCGTCGGGCGTGCTGCTGACCTTCGCCATGAGCTGCACAGCGCACGTGTTCAGCTGCCTGTCGCTGCGCCTGCGCGCTGCCTTCTTCTACCTGGACTACGCGTCCATCAGCTACTACGGCTTCGGCAGCACGGTGGCCTACTACTACTACCTGCTGCCGGGCCTGAGCTTGCTGGACGCCAGAGTGATGACGCCGTATGTGCAGCAGCGCTTGGGCTGGCACGTGGACTGCACGCGCCTCATCGCCGCCTACCGGGCGCTCGTGCTGCCGGTGGCCTTCGTGCTGGCCGTGGCCTGCACGGTGGCCTGCTGCAAGAGCCGCACGGACTGGTGCTCTTACCCCTTCGCGCTTCGCACTTTTGTGTTCGTCATGCCCCTCAGCATGGCCTGCCCCATCATGCTCGAGAGCTGGCTCTTTGACCTGCGTGGCGAGAACCCCACGCTCTTCGTGCACTTCTATCGTCGCTACTTCTGGCTGGTGGTGGCCGCCTTCTTCAATGTGAGCAAGATCCCTGAGCGCATCCATCCGGGCCTCTTCGACATTATTGGCCACAGCCACCAGCTCTTCCACATATTCACGTTCCTTAGTATCTATGACCAGGTATACTACGTGGAGGAGGGCCTGCGCCAATTTCTCAAGGCGCCACCTGCGGCGCCCACCTTCTCTGGTACAGTGGGCTACATGCTGCTGCTGGTGGTCTGCCTGGGGCTGGTCATCAAGAAGTTCCTAAACAAAACTGAATTCTACTGTAAAAAGTGAACCTCCGCCTTGCCTTGGAGGAGGCTGCTGGTTCGCCCACCTATTTGTTTGGAGTTTCTGTTGTTGCTATCGTTGGTTTGTTTTCAAGTTTTGTTGTGTTTACTTCTTTGCTCAAGGAAGGTGCTGCAAAACCACAGGGAAAAAGTCGAATACAACAAGGTGGTCTCAGTGCACTTGGGGCCTTTGGAAGAGGGGAGATATGGTTCAAGCAAGAGGGAGAGGGCCACTGGTTCTTGCTCCTGGAAAAAAATTCCGGTGGTGTCTCTGACATCCAGGGTTTTTCAAAGGGAGCGAGTAAAATCCCCAATAAAACCCCGAACAGTTTGGTTTTCCAGTCGTCGTCTGCGCCAGTGGTAATGAGGAGTAGTCCTGGTGAGGTCAGGTATGCAGTAAAGAGGGTAAGTAGACAAAATCCCTGGATACTTCCATTTCAGTCTGAGGAATGCTTGGATTTGTAAAAAGAATGGAGCTTTGTAGGGAATGGGCACAAAGACACAAACCCAGGGGCTTAACCTGCTAGAAAATGCATGGGATGTGAACACAAATTAATTATTTCAAAATGTTTCTCAGATGTTATTTAAATAGTAATATATACAATGATTTTTCATAATTTATCAAAGCCTGTGATATGCACTGAATTATCTTTGTTACATAGTTTTGAATTTTGCAGCCCTTCTGCATTGCATACACTTGAACTGGACATCAGGGCAAGCTGCTTGAGAATTCTCAACTATTTTTTTAAACAGTGTTTTCCGAAGGCTTATGTGTGTTATGATACAACTGTGAATTATTCTACCTTAGGGACTCTGGTTAAACTATTGTTGAGGAGCTCAGTGGTTTATATACATCCCAGGTTTCGATTTACTTTAATGTATTCCACACAACACATCCCATTTTTTGTTTGTTTTGTTTTTAATTTTATTCTTTCCTTCTCTACTTATTTAAATTGCCACTGGAATAAATGTGCCTTTTGAAGCAATGCCCAAATGACTGGTTCTCAGATATAGTTTCAGGCATGGAGAGAGCAGTAAGAATAAGCTTTTATTACTTTACTGTAAATCAGGGTCTAACATTCCACCCAGGAGGGAAGGAAGATGGTGTTGTTTTTAAAATTTTGGTAGGACTGAAAGTAGCTTACCAGGAGAAAGGGAGCTAACCCACTAATGTGGCTGTGGTTCCTAAAGCAGCCATCGGGGAAGGTGAGAAGACACAGTTCTAGACCAATGCCATTTATCCTTGCTTATAATTAAAAATATAATATTCAGGAATAACTGAGGCAGTTATATTATGAAAGTCAAAAGCATATTACTTGAGTTGTAACTGAAGACATTGAGTTAAATAACATTACCTTTGCGTGGTTAAACACTGGTCTCATTTGGAGCCACACTATGGAAATGAATAGCAGTCACCCTAAATCACTGAAAAATTAGTGAACGTGTTCCTGAGATCCTTTCTGACAACCACATTGGCCAGTGTTATTTAAGACATTTCTCATAAGCGATAACCTGTACTTGAGATAACAACTCTAGATTAACACAAATCACCGAGGTGGCTTACTTAATTTAACTTACCACACTTCCTGACAAGACCTTTAGGGTAAGAGCCAAATAAGTCATTGAATGGGAAGTCTTGACTTCATAGGATAATTTAGATCAAGCACATAAGGTAGATGAACACTTCCTCAGCACTGGCCAGCTGGAACGCCTAAAAAGATAGCTGTTTTGTTTATGCTTTTAATCTCTACTTGATTTGTAAACAGAGAGGCTTGGCACAATTCCTTGGAGGAACCAGTATCCTTGTGCATTAATTTGCACACAGAAGTTAACTTTCTATAGGTCTGTATTTAATTTGGAACCTCTTAAGGGGATCGTAAATACACTTTGCACATTTGTTGATGGGTGTCAGTATCTAACCTTTTGCAAAGTGCAGGGAGATTCCCATTAGGTGATAGAGGCTGAAAAATTGTGCCCAGCATGGATGTTATTCCTCAGCTTATATACTCAACTTAACTCAGTACGTGTATTCAAGGACAGTTGTGGAAATCAGGATATTTTCACATGCAAACTTATTTGCATGTCATTGTTGTCCCTTCCAGAGCCCCAAAGAATGTTGGTTTGGAAGCTAGAGAAACAGGTTGAGGAGTGTTTGGTAGCTTCCTTGTAAAATGGGACCTCCCCTTTCAGAAGGAACTTTCAAGGGGCAGAATTCTAAAAATGGTCCATGAGTTTGAGAACAAGAAATAAACCCTGTATTTGTCATTTTAAATTTTTGTTGGAGAGCTGGGTCTCCAGAATTCTGGCCAACAGAATTCCCTTCTCACCCTGTGTCTTTGTCCTCAAGTAGAGGCCACTTAAGGATAAAATTATACCCATATCATTTTCAAGTGATTATGATGCGTGAGCCCAGTAAGGTGACACACTTTTCCCCTCAATGTTTTCAGACCCAGTGTGCTCCAGGGAGAATGAGGACTCACTTTCCTTCCCCTTGCTGTTTCCTTCCTTTACTTTCTTTTCTCCAATTCCATCTTAGTGTTTATATACCACATATAACATTGACAAAAGGACATTCTAGTTGAAAACAGAGGTTTGGCTTCGCTTCCTATTTGCAAAAAGAAACCATATATGTTATATAGGACCAGGGATGATTTGTGAAACTATGTGTGTTATTTGCTAAATTATATCAGATTTCTGCCCAGATAAATGGTGATATTTTAGATTCAGCATATATTTACTGAATCTCCGTTTGCATGGAAATAGCCAGGTATGTTATTACATATTTCAGGGGTAAAATGGCCATCAGAATAAAATATCTTTGAAAAATATTTTTCACGTTCTCCACTTTGCCACATCCATTAGGATTCTGTTTTACTTTATTGTGTTCAGCTGCTTGAAATGTAGGACAAATGATAAATAAGAATGTACTCCATTATCTCTGTAAAACCTATTTTGGCAGTGGAATTTTGAAGCATATTATGTAATGCATTTTTTTTTACTTGTTAGTCATGATCTAGATGACATCTCAAGGAACAGCGTCATAGAGTCATGCCTGGAAAGTGAAGGTATTTGACTTTTTGGAGCCTGTCATTCTGTGGGCTGGTCTCTGGGGTTGATGCAGCTGAGTTAGTTGGTTAAAGAGGGTTCGTTTCTTCCCTGTCCTTGCAGCTGCACCCTCAAATGAAAGGGATGACCTTCCCAGACCTAAGTGAGTTTTTTGGTCATGTCACGACTGGCTTGGTAAAAATAAGCGTGATCTTTTCCACTGGCCATACACTTTCTATAAATAGCCCAGGAAGAAAGTATGGGGCTTCAGAGCTGTCCAGAGTGGCCTTCACATGTTTCCATTCATAAATCCTACCCGTAAGTGTTTGCAGTTAAAAACCATTTAGCCTAATTCATTGTGCCACATAGGGTAATCATGTCTAAGAATGCAAAATTGGGAGATGGAGGTTATTTTTATTTTTATTTTTTCTGATTTGGTGCTGAATCTGAGAGCTCACAGCAATAATAAACAGGGATTGTTATCTTCAAATTTCTTTACAACTCTACTTAATTTGCACAAAGCTAGAGTAAAAGGTACAATAGGAATTATCTCCATTTATAGGTTATACCAAGGTGACAGAATCAAGTTTGCAAACTGGCCTTAGAATGTGGGGATGGTTGTGTGCTCATTTGGGAGTATGTGCTAGTTTACATGGCTCTGATGCCTGGTCAAGCACACAGACACTAATTGGAGATGTGTGTCTCCGTAATTATATATCTATGATTAATAATATCTAGTATCTATTTTATATACAGAGATAGGTCATTTATCATTGTAAAACAGAGTGAAGTGAGATGTGGTTATCCTTGAATTTAGATTATAAAATCTTAAACAAAATGTACTTATGTAGGTTTTATCATCTTGGATTGTTTTTCATCTGTTGAAGTCTGATGCTGCTGACTTCACTCTGTCAGTATCCTTTGAGTTGATTTCCACATTTGTCCATGTCATCCTTTTAGTGATCACTGAGCACCTAAGATGCATGATGCATGTAAGACATCAGGCAAGGATCCATCCACATTATTACAGCTATTACCCCTTTGTCTGTGGGGGGAACAGAGATGGGAACACCAAAGAGCCATCTGGCCATGATCTAAACGCTGACCTTGGCCACAGCAGAATGTCCTAAGCCACTGAGTTTGGTTCATTTCTCCTTTCTGTTGCAGGGAGGCAATGCATAGAATCTTATTTCAGTTAATGTGCTAACTTATCCCAAAGCAATTTCTTTCTTTGCTTCTTTCTTTTTCTCTCTCTCCCTCCCTCCCTTCGTTCCTTCCTTCCTTTTCTTTCGTTCCTTTTTCTGTCTGCTCCTAGACCTATGTGACTTTGATGGCTAAAAATAACTAGAAATCTTAATATAGGATGCAGGTGAAGGGATAGCAGGCATATGTACATGGAGACAGTTGAAAATTTTATTACTACTAATCAATAGAAATGCTACTAACAACCACTTTTTGGAAGGTTAATAGTATTTATGTCATTATGAAGCAAGATTCATCCAAAGTGCCTAGACTGTGATGTCATTAAGTGTCTGAATTTCATAGAGAGCATACTTATGCTTTAAAAATAGGAGCATCAGTCCACAAAGACGAACTCATGTTCTTTAGCCTTTTTCCTCTTTTAAGGTCCTTGTGTTGTAATCTATAAAACATGTCTTAGAAAAAATTATTCTGGAAGAAATTATTTTTTAAAAAAGTATCAGATCTGAAAAAGACAGGAAGAAGGCATGAGCAGGGGAGAACAAAGAGGATTAGACTCAAACAGTTAGAATGGGACATCAAGTTCAACTGTGGACAGTTGCTCCTGAGTTTTACGTTTTGTCCCTAGAAAAGCATGTGAACTCGCATGGTGTTAGCTCTCAAATGAACAGGCAAGGAATTCTCTTTGGCAGCCTAACCACGTCCTGTAGTTTTTGACCTGAGCACTACTGCCAAGGTATATTTTGAGTAGTACTCTTTACTCCTGGCTTAATGTCCTTAATTTGTTTCCATAAAATTAGGACCTAAGGCAAAAAGGCATTAGGGGATAGCCCAAGCCAATTGTAAATCACCTTTTGAATCATTTCTTTGAAGGACTGCCAATATCCTATAACATAAATTGCCTGACAAAAAGCAAACAAGCCCAGACAAACCGAAAAAAGAAAGCATTCATTGGTTAAGCTGAGTGAGCACCATTGTATTCCAATGGGATAGGCTGCACACCCTCCTGTTGAAGGTTTTCTTCCTCTTCACTACTATGAATAATGATCTTTTAATTGTGAAAATGGGTATCAATTCTTAATTACTCTTCCAAAAATTTAATACAAATTTTTGCTGTTGTTTCAGAAGGACAGATGTATTGCATTTTCTGGTTTGCAGATTTCTAACCAGCTTGTAGACATTTTTGTTTTAGAATAGCTTCTTAAGAGTCTGTGAGCAAGTTGCAGAATTAGAGTGTTTATATGTAGGTCAGAGGCCAAGAACGCTCAGGTGGCTGCTAACTGTGGCAGGATGTGACTTTGGAAAGCTCGGAATACATTCTTCCATGCAACAAAATGATCACTTATTTACTGTCTAACTCGGTGGAAAAGAGCCTTTTGTTTAAGTTTTGGAAAATGTTCCCCAATGTATTGGGCTTCTAAATGTGATGCGGGATCCTCCATCTTTTTTGTTCTCGAACAATCTCTGAAAGCTGTTCCAAACATGACATTCCTCAAGGAATATTTTCTGAATGTGCAAAAGTATTCTCGAATGTGTCAATGTGGCAGGCCACCTTTCTCATGCCTTACAGCTCCACCTAAAATATGCAATAAGCACCCCCGTAGGAGTGAAAGGGTCTTCAGATGGTTATTTAACCACGCTGTGGAAATGGCCCTGCTCCTCACGGCTCACCCACCACATTGAGAAAGGACATCATGTAAATAAACCTTTGTTTCTAGGTGAGGGGCGTACGGGATACACA